AAGCAGTTTACAATTGTTATTTTTTGGAGTGGGGGTGCCAGTACAGGAGGCACATGCCAGACCTATTGTACATATTTTTAGTGGTAGGGGAAACCGGAGCACCCGGAGGAAACCTACGCAGACACGGGGAGAACATGCAAACTCCACTCAGAAAGGCCCTGGTCCAACCGGGATTTGAACCCAGGACCTTCTTGCTGAGAGGCAAGAGTGCTGAGTGGGGGAGGGTCCCGGCTCAAAAGTGGCCAAAATGACGTGCGCTGACATGCTTGCAATACCACCCCGGGCCGATGGGGGTGGACCCAGAAGAAGAATTAGCCAATGCTAACATATAGCATTGGCAGACCTCTCAAAAACGTCTTTACAGGACGGACCAAAAGTTGGCTCTTGGCCCAAAGCTTCGTTCCACATGTGTGTCAATGCTGAGGGGGGTGGATTTTTTTGGTCCACTCTAGTTTACTTGCTGTGAATTTTTGAAGTCTCTCGTTCAAATGAATGGAGTTGCGCCGGCTTACGCATGCGCAGATGCGTTTTTTCACAATTTTCTTGTGGGTGGGACCACTCGCGGCCATTTTGGATTGTTCCGGTAGAGCACATTTTTTGGCCCATTAGTTAGAACGGCGGAGATAGGCGTGACTCTGTCCGTTAATATATACAGTCTATGGTGGAAGCACATACTGTAGAGGATCAGGATGTCTGCAGTTTCAACAATAAAATAAAGTGCTGTAGTCTACATTACAAGAGAGTAATAAACATTTCTACGTCATGGTGCTACGTCCCTTAGGATATCACTCGTGACCCCCAGGTCACACGCCAGAGAGATCAAAATAATTTGCTCCAATCACCAGCCACCTTCCTCTATAAATGCCCCTGCACAAGGCCGCACCCCCTCTTTCACTCTGGCGCCGATTGAGATCTACATTTCAATTTACCTGAGGAAAGATGTCTTCTGATGCTCGTCCGAGTTCCCCTTCGCCATCCGGCGTCGGACGTCGTCGTTGCTCGACTTGTCGGGTCAAGCTCCAGCGCAAGGACCAGCACTCCAGCTGCTTCGTGTGCCTGGGTTCGGGCCATGCGGCGTTGAGCGCCACCTGCGCCTCGTGTCTCGCTCTCCCCAGGGAGGAGAGTGAACGCAGGCGCGCGTTCTTCGCCGCTACAGCGCCCCGTCTGGACTCCTCAGGACGAGGAGTCTGTGATTGACTGGGCCCCCCTCGACCTTCCACCCGTGCCCGCGGAGTGGGGTGACTGCGAGGACGGAGAGGTGTCGGAGGTCGGCTCTCTCCTCACGCTGGACGAGGTGGTGTCCAACCCGGAGCCGGACCGCTTCCCGCTGGACCACATGCCTGGGCTCTACTCCACGGCGGCGGCCATCATGGATGCCCCCCTGCCTCCGCAACCGAACCAGAGGGTGGAGGACTTCACCTCTGGTTACGCCACCACTCGAGGGAGGAGGAGGGCGCAGCCCACGTTGTGCCCGCGGATGGACCCGATCGTCATTACGCAACACGTGAGTGGCCAAAGCCCCTAGCGGCCAAGAGGCCCGCTTTGGGGTACGGCATGTACTGTAACGTGCAGGACTGGTCCTGGACCGGCGGGGTCCCGGACATCGAGGACTCGGTTCGAGCGGCCCTGCAGCCCTCCGCATCCGTGTGGCCTGGCACCAGACCTCTCCTTCCCTCCGAGCGGGACAGGATGTCTTTGGCGATGCACGATAGATGTTACGCCAATGCGGCTCAGGTCGTCGCTGTGGCTAACAACATGGCCTTCATCACGGGGGCCCTGGATAGGTCGCTCTCTTCTGGCCAGGCGCTCAGTGGAGACACCTTATCCCAGGCGAGGACCACTTCAGCGGCGATCCTGCGCATGTGCCAGGCGCTAGCTGTCGATGGCAGCCGCACGATGGCAGCAGCACAAGTCGGGGCCAGGCACCTCTGGCTGGGGCTGGCGAACATCAGGGAGGCGGAGAAGAGGCAGCTGCTGGACCTGCCCATCTCCCAAACGTCGCTCTTCGGTCCGGAGATGCAGACCCTGATGACTAGGCTGGACACCGCAGCTAAGGACTCTGCTAGCTTAGCCCAGCATCTAGCTACGAGGCGCGAGGCCCGCCCACCAGCGCGGAGCCGAGACAGAGGCAGGAAGCGCTCGCCCGGCAGGCGCCCCGGACCATATCCACGCTCCGTGGTTCATCGTTCCCCAGCGACGAGGCCCCCGGGCCCAGACAGGCACACGGGAGGCTCGCGGGACCAACACACCCACCGACGACCTCCCTATGGCAGAGGAGGTCGGGGTGGGAAGAATTCTTTCAATAAAAGCCGTCCGGCATTTCATCAGTACTCGCTGTCTGAGTCTCATTTGGGGGTATGTAACATGTCAAATGATCTGAATTCTGATTGTGTTACTTCTCGAGCATATAACGTGGCTCCGCTAGGCCTGCAGCCCCCAGAGAAGGGCGTGCAGCGTACTACGCGGGCCACGGGCTCCGATTCACGGGTTCATGTTTTGCCCTCCCGGAGAGAGGGCAGGCGGAGGGATCTGGTGAGTGATAATGTGTGTGCTCCGGCCGAACGCGTGTTAGCATCTCTGAGCTACAAGGCTAACGTGGGGTTTCCCACTCCACGGGCTCGCCCCCCCCTCCATGAGGCAAGAGCCAGGGGGGGGCACAGCAGCCGAGTCACGTGTGGTGAGCAGAGCTACAAGGCTAACACGGGGTTTCCCACTCCAGGGGCTCGCCCCCCCCTCCATGAGGCAAGAGCCAGGGGGGGACACAGCAGCCGAGTCACGTGTGGTGAGCAGTCCCGTACTTATGACGTCGGGCCTGCAGGACACGTGACCGCCCCCGGCGCTCACGGTGTGACGCAGGGGCCCCCCCGGCCCTTTCAGCCACCCCCCCTCCCTGCTAGGAACACCAGGAGAGGGCGGGGCCGTGACGTCTCGTGTTCCAGCTCCCGTTCCGCCCCTCACAGACTTCTACAGCATCTGGAGGGAGCAGGGCCTACTGACAGATATTTGGCTGGAGAAAACTTTGCGCAGGGGTTACGCACTGCAATTTTTCCGAAAACCACCACCATTCCGAGGCGTACGGGCAGTACGCTCTCAGGTACGGGGATCGTTAGAGGCACTACAAGCGGAGGTCTCCTCTCTGCTGAGTCGAGGCGCAGCAGTGGAGGTAGACCCGCAGGACGCCACCAGGGGGCTGTACTCCCCTTACTTCTTAGTGCCAAAGAAGTCAGGCGGGGTGCGTCCCATTCTGGATCTGCGCGTGTTAAACGAGTGCATTTCCAAACGGCAGTTTCGGATGCTGTCCACAAGGCAGCTCCTCGAGTGTGTCAGGGAGGGAGACTGGATGACATCCATAGACCTGACAGATGCGTACTTCCACGTGCCCATAGTACCAGAACACAGGAGGTTTCTGCGTTTCGCAGTGGGAGAGAGGAATTACGAGTACTGCCGTCTACCCTTCGGGTACGCACTCGCGCCTCGGACTTTTTCCAAATGTGTGGAAGCAGCTCTGGAGCCGATCAGACGCGCGGGGGTAAGAATATTAACCTATATAGACGATTGGTTAATACTGGCCCCATCCAGGGAAGTGGCCCTGAGCCACACGCACTGGGTCCTGTCCCACATACAGCGTCTGGGCTTTGTGGTGAACAGGGAGAAGAGCAAGCTGCAGCCAGCCCAACGCATGATTTATCTCGGTCTGCAGTTAGACTCTGTGACATTCCGTGCTGCATTGTCCGTGGACAGACGGATGAATATTACCCGTCTGGCCCGGGAGGTTCTGGCGGGCCCCAGAGTCCCCGCTCGGCGCCTCAGGTCCCTGCTGGGAATGATGGCGGCGGGTCATGCTGTGGTGCGGCTAGGCCTTCTCCACATGAGGAATTGTCAGAGGTGGTTCTCACGCCTCAGGCTTCACCCCTCCCGGGACGGGGGGAGGCTGATCTGGGTTCCCCAAGTGGCAGCATCGGACATCAGGTTCTGGCTCACTCCGGGTCTATTGCGGGACGGAGTGACTCTGGCCTGCGCCGTGTCTCACGTCGAGGTGTTCACGGACGCGTCGCTCGAAGGATGGGGCGGGGTCCTCGGCCAGAGCTCTGTAGGAGGCTGCTGGTCGGACTCAGCCCGTCACATCAACCTGCTGGAGATGGAGGCAGTGCACAGAGTACTGCTGCACTTTGCCCCTCAGCTGCAGGGGAGACACGTGATGGTGCGCTCAGACAACCACCACAGTGGTCTCCTATCTGAACAGGCAGGGGGGCACCAGGTCCCCCGCTCTCCATCGCATGGCGACGGTGACGCTGCTGTGGGCGGCGCTTCACGTCCTGTCTCTCAGGGCGCGCCACGTCCCGGGGGTTCGGAACGTGGGAGCCGACAGGATGTCCAGGGGGGGCCCACTCCAGGACGAGTGGGGCCTGGCCCCACGGGTAGCTGCGGAGATCTGGCGAAGGTTCGGCCGTCCAGTGGTCGACCTTTTCGCCAGTGCAGAGAACGCACAGTGCCCGTCCTGGTTCGCCTTAAGGGCCGCGGACGAGCCGCCTTTAGGCGTGGACGCTCTGGCTCATTACCCATGGCCAGGCGGCCTGTTGTACGCTTTCCCACCGGTGCGTCTCCTGCCGGTCCTGCTGCGGAGGATCGAACAGGAGAGGAGATCGGTGATCCTGGTGGCTCCGGACAGTCCGCATGCCCGGTGGTTCCCCTTCCTGAGGGGCATGGCGGTGATGGAGCCCTGGGCCCTCCCGGACAAGCCGGGGGCTCTAGTCCAGGGGGCAGGAGCCCTGTTTTCACGTCCGATAATCGGCCGCAGGCTCTGGGCTTGGAGGCTGAGAGGCGGAGCCTCGTAGACCTGGGTCTTCCCCCTGCGGTGGTTGGAGACCATTCAGGGAGCGAGGGCGCCGTCCACTGTGAGGGCCTACGCCACGAGGTGGAGGCTATTCAGTGTCTGGTGCGATTCCCGTTCCTGGGATCCCAGGTGTTGCCCGCTGGAGGGGGTACCTCCCCCCCACCCCCTACCTCCTCCCCCCCCCCCCCCCCCCTCCCCCCCTCCCCACACCCAAAATCCCTATCTCTTTCCCACCCCCCCCTCCCTCATCCCACCCCCCCCCCTCCCCCCCCCCCCCCCCCCCCCCCATTCCCCCCACACCAACCTCCCCACCCCCAACCTCCCCAAACACAAACCCCCCCCACCCATAATCACCAACACACCACCCCCCCCCACCCCCCCAACCCCCCCCACCCCCCCCCCCCCCCCCCCCCCACCCCCCCCCCCCCACCAACCCCCCCCCCCCCCCCCCCCCCCCCCCCCCCCCCACCCCCCCCCCCCCCCCCCCCCCCCCCCCCCCCCCACCCCCCCCAATCCCCCCTCCCCCAACCCCCCCCCCCCCCCCCCCCCCCCCCCTCCCCCCCCCCCACCCCCCCCCCCCCCCCCCCCCCCCCCCCCCCCCCCCACCCGGGGATTCCTAACAGGAGCTCTTCGTACAGGGGAGGGCTGTCGCTTAGACCTTGGCGCGGTTGGGCGCGGCAGCCCTTTACTTCGGGTCACGACGGGTTCGGGGGTTTCACAAGCCCGCTGCCCTCACCCGTTGGTTGTAACGTGTTTCTGTCGGGGGGCGCGCAGGAGGAGGGCCCCCAGCTCCAGAGAACGCCTCCCGGTTTTTTTTTTTTTTTTTTATTTTACTATCGGGACCTCAGGGTTGGTCCTTTAGGGGGCTGTCGGGTTCGGCCTTTTTGAACCGGCGGCGGTGTGCGAGTTCCCGAGTGTAATCGCCTTTAAGACGGCCCTCTTACTGGCGTTGGCGTCTTGCTAAGAGGCGGCGCGATTTGTGTGCGCTCTGGTCCATGCGTCGTGCCGTGTCCTTTGGAGGAGGACGACGAGCCATGGTGGAGTTGTGGCCCAAATCCGGCTTTTCTCCCCAAGGTCTTTCACGTCGGCCTTTAGGGTCGAGAACAACTATGAATTGGCAACAGCTCACATTTGGTTACTTGATTTCAAGCCTGAGGCCTTAGTGAATTCTTAAATAATGAAATTGCCTTTCTGCATCTATTTTTATCTTTCAGAAAAAAGCTGTGTCATCCGCAAGTTGTGAAATTCGAATTTCTCAAACGAAAATCGAATACCTCTCCTTCCGGGCTACTGATAATATTTATTAGATAACAATTCCACTACTAAAACAAAAATGAAAGGACTTTATCGGACATCCTTGTCTTACGCCCACTTGATTATATCAAACCTTTTGTAGTGGTGGAATTCACAATAACAGAGCTATAGATACCATTGAAAACATATCAACCAAATGTTTGTAAAAGATTTTCCAATTAAATAACTGAAGACAATATCTTGAATAAATTGTGTTTCATAGTATCAAAAGCCTTGTAGAAATCCAACAAACCAGAAAAATGCGTTCAGAGTGCACAAGCCGAGTGGATGTTGTTTTAACAGTATTCTGAATAAAACTGTATTTTAAGGTTTTTCTTTATTCATTTTTCTTCATACAATAACGTTACCATATTCCATGTTCCTCCTCTGTAAAAGTATGAATGGCAGTTTGATAGATTAACATAAAGAAACCTTCTTGTTAATTACTTAAGTAAATACTATTGCTGAATCATATTATCTTCACTCATGTTCAAGAGTACAAACACATGTATTTTTCATTTATCTTTGGATCTTTCTTTTGCTCACAGTGTCATAGATGAAACGTATGATCAAAATATCAGTGTATTTTACAAAACAAACACCTCCGTTTGCCTCTAATAAACTCACTGTTAATTGAATTTTCCCTGAGAGCAGCACCCTGATGACAGCTGATGACAGCCGACATGGCTCCCATTGTGAATCCACTTCCACACTCTCTAAAAATTTCCATCCCCAATTAACTGATTCTACAGAGAAGCACACAGCAGTAGCCTGGTCGTACCACACCATAGTACTAATTACATTTCGTACTAAGTGATAATTGAGCGGAGTGTACGGATGGCTACGGCCAGGCTAACACAGCACCCCTGCAGCTGGTACAAGTACTCCTCCTAGGTACTTCAGTAAAAGTTTATATACGGGGTAAGAACAAACTATCCTAGTAAAAGTAAAATTAATAGTAATTCCCTTATTTGAGTAAAAGTACAGCTAAACGAGTAAAACATTAAAATGATTTTAGCTTTATCGTTATTATTTGACTTCACAAAAAAAACAGCATTAAGAACTTAGAAGCATAGCTAAGCATGGCTAACCACATGGAGGGGTCAATAGTGGACCAGGTGGCATTAGACAATGTGGTTCATGTTTATCGTCATCAGCAAATGTTTTAAGTAGTTTTTTTAGTTTTTTTTTTTACATAAGGAGTCGAAGGTACATATTTGTCTTTACTTAAGAGCTACTTTTACTGATGCAGGTCGCACATTTCTCTTCTGAGAGGATAGTTTCATGAGAGGCCTGTGCCATCATCAGGATATGTAATAATATTTACAGTCTATGATCAGGACTTATGGTGAGAGTCTTAATCAGAGATGTCCAGACTGTTGTGGACTAAGCTTTGACTGAAATAAGTAAATGTAGACGTACAATACAACATTAACTTTATTTGAGGATTTAGAAAGAAAACTTGAAACCTGCTTGTACTATTGTTCATGGAGCCAATAACTAGAGAGTAACGCCATCATTTAACACAAACAGTATGGCATTTATGTATTTATTTGTTTAATCTTTAATTCAGACACACAAAAAGGTCAATTAAACACAAAAACTAAATTGTATAATATAGACTCTAAGTGATCTAATAAAGTCATTACAAATATCAGATTTTTGTTACCAGAATCTACCTGTGACTGCTTACTGATGCAATCCACCGGCTGGAGATTAGCGAGACATGGTACATACTCTGTATTATGCATGACTAATGATTTTTACCTGTTTTAATTCAAACCAAAGTATGGTGCAAAAAAAAGGCAAAACAGCAACATTTCATATCACAAAAGAGCCATCCTAATGAGGACCACATGCTGCTTTCTGATTGGATAAACTGGTTTAAAAATACACACAAAATATTGTATACATCATGTTCATTGTATTTTTAATGAAGAATAAATCCACTATAAACTGTTCAGAAAAGGTCACATTAGGATATGCTGTTATCCATCAGATGAGCTGTTATCTGGGGACTATTTTAAATGAAAATAATAAATAGAACCAATATTATTGTGCAGCTTTGGGAAATAGTTCAGGTTTTGACACAAAAGCTTCTGCAGATGTAGCTTTAACCATTTCTAAAAAATATGTAAATGTTTGAATTGCAGGTCCCACTGCAACCGCAGCTAATAGAAAACGTGAATTGTGTCTCCCTGTTCTGAAGAATAGTTTTCTCAAATCGGCCAGTGTGCACATAGAGCAGCCTAACAAAACCATTTCCTCCCACACGGCGCCAGCGAGAAAGTGAGAAGATGTGACAATACAGATGTCAAATACATTTATTTTTAATCTATTTGATTATTCTCCTTGACTTGAGATGACATACATAAGGTTTAATGTATGTATTATTGAAGAAAAAAGAATAAGCATTAACATAAGCCATTAAAAATGATTCAACAATTTCAATTTCATGTTTTAGAATGAGAAAATGTATAGTGAAAGGGAAAACAGTGCTCTACCCCTTCAACTCCCATGCTCAAACTTTAAAAATTACTGGCTGCAAATATTGCGATTGTAAAGAGACAAACTTTATTCGTCCCACAGTGGGGAAATTCCAATGTTGCAGCGCACATACAGGACCGTAGTAGGAGTACAGGCAGCGCACAAAAAAATACAAAATGAGTAGCTGCTAAGTTTTGTAGATAGCTGTAAATGCTTCAATATCAAAACATCGTTATCTTTATCTGACAGGAGAAGAAGTAGATGAAGTGACATTCAGTAAACATTGTAAAATTGCAGTATTGCACATTTTGTGTGATGTCACAGCGATACCATGATATCTTACTATTTCATGACTGAGACAGGAGCTTTTAAGGCAGAGGTACATCGACCCGACAGTTGGACCTCTGGTGTTGGAGAGAGTCAGATATAGATTGGTTTGGTGTGTTCCGACACATTGAAAGCAGTTGGGACTCGCCATGGGATACTGCATGTCTCTCTGCTCCAGGGGTGTCAAAGAACGCTCAGAAAAACAAGCCACGCCACGATGCAGCAAGGATTTAGGAGCAGTGTATCGAGCGAGTTTTCAGCCGACCCGGACCAACAAGACCCAACAGAGTGGTTGGCTGTTGGCTCAAGTCTGGTTGGTACTGTGTATCAAAGCCTTATGACAGAAGAGGGCGGAGTTACATGTTTGTGCTTGGTTGTTCTTAATACAAACATGGATGGCTCAAAAAAAACCCTACATCTGTCTTTGATGAGGGAACAATGTTGGAACAAAAACATGTAGATTCTCCTTTTAATATATTGAATGATTGATGAGGATGGATGATTGAATGTCGTCCTTCATGTGAGGCCTTTGTCATCAAAAGAAATATTGTTTCTCCTCTCTTCTCCCCGCCCATCGCTTTGCATTCATTACTAATACTTCTGAAATCCAAAGTTTGCTTCTTAAAGTGGTTCTCACCCCCGCTCCTCGGAGCTTACGTTACTCACATTTCCTGTTCAAATCTTCCTCTAAATGGGCGTAGCCTGGAGGACTAAAGGGGGCGTGAACGAGACTGGGCCGTTTACATTGCTCTGGGCGGGGGGCTGTGACGTCAGGTCCAACTTGCAGACGTCAGGTCCAACTTCTGTGCCAGTGTTGGCGCCAGATTCAAAATTCAAATGTAGTAATACAGGTCGCCAGCAGATGGCGCCTCACAGACGGTTTTAGGCAGAAAGTCTAACTTTCAACTAATTTGCACCAAAGTGACAAGATTATGACCAGGATATGTAGACAACACTATTGGACACTCATTTATACCGTTTATCAGCAAAAAAAAGTGGATTTGAGGGTGAGTTGTCCTTTAAGGTCTAAAATGTCATTGCAAGAACCTCAGCGAGATGTTCTGACTGGTCTGACTTGAAACCTAACTTTATTATAACTCATTTTCTATTTCCCCCCTGCCTTCCAACATTGTAATTATTCACCATGCACACTGAGTTTCATTTTGATGGTTCTCTAAATACCAGCGTTAACTTTGTAAACTTTTAAGGTCACTCACCTTTTCCCCAATCTACATAAAAGCAGTAAAATTAAAATCCAATCAAAAAAGACAGGTGCACCGTTGAATGCATACTCCACATTCAGCCTTGCTTTCTCTTTTAGTCTTGCACACAGCGTCGGAAAAGCCGAATGTCAAGAACGCGCTGTTTACTTCCAAGCGTAGGAGTGCGCTTGCCTACGCGTTGGAAGACATTGAATGCATCACAGCGTACAGGGCCATCAGGTGAAGCAAGTGCGTCTATAAAAAGGAGTCAATGGGAAGGGGAAAACAACGTCTAGAAAGGTGCGTCAATCCAGCAACAGACCACCCCCAATGCAGATGTACAGCTGCATTTTCTAACATGTTTATACATCAACGAAAAGTACGACACACTTTTTCTGAAATCACAGCCTTTTGGGGTACGACTCTACAAGCGTTGCACATCTGGAGCTCAGTCGGACTCAATGGAGAGTGTTTGTGAGCATTAGTTTTCAAATATTTCAATTATGGATTTCAGTCTGGACTTTGACTGGGGCTTTCCAACACATTCATTTTGTCTCTTCAATCATTCAAACATTCTGCCTTTATTTTTGGGGTCTTGCTGCAGGATAAATCTCCATCTACCCCAGACTGTTGTGCTGATTCCGACAAGCCATCCATCCATCCATCCATTTTCCTCCGCTTCATCTGTTGCCGGGTCGTGAGGACAGCAGTCTAAGCAGAGACGCTTAGACTTCCCTGTTCACACACACCTCCTCCCGACAAGCTTTCTTTCAAAATGGCCCTACATTTGCCTATCCCCATCTTTCCATTGCATTCACAATCTCCCCTGTCCCTGCTGAGGAAATGTAGGCCCATAACATGATGCTGCCACCCCCACATTCAATATTGGGGATGGTGCACTGAGGGTAAGTTTGGCAGCACGCCCACCATTTTTGCCAAAAAATTACATTCCCCAACCCACCCCGATTGGAATTCTGACCGTTTAGATTTTTCACGTTTTTCTTTCCACAATAGATTTCTTCCCGCCACATTTTGTCGATAAAGACCAGATTTCTGTAGACATCCATTTAGACAACAAACGGTTAATATATTTATTTTATTAACAAATAACCTTGTGGATTTGACTCCAAAAAAGCTAAACACATTGAAAAAAAAAAAAATGGAACCGCATGGACATAATTAGAAGCATGAAACGATAAGGCACTCTTCCAGCGGTTACGTATCTGAAAGTTGAGTGTGCCGACTGCATCAGGCCACTGTGGCACGGTGTAATCCTTTCCACAGGGGATTCACAGCAATATGAAGAAATGCTAAGACTGAGTTTGACTTCATTTTCTCTGTTACACTGTATGCAC